GGAGGAGGAGAGTTCTGGGGAAGGAGGTTGGGTTCAATTCGCTCGGGAGTTCCCGAACGAAGCGAACCCCACCTCCCCCCCTTGGAACTCGTGGGGTGGTGGGCCAGGGTTCGCATGTGGCCTCCGTCCCGCCCCTCTCCTTGTATGAGGCCTCCCCGGCTGGCCGCGTGGGCCCCACGACGTCACTGTCGCTCAGCGCTTGCCCCCCGTACCCCCGCTCCAGGGCTTATCTCGACCCTTCCGATGCGATTCGATCTGGTTTCGATGGCTTCCGATCCCGATCCGGTTCGACTTCGGATTCCGATTCGGAGCCCTATTCCTCGGTGGAGGCCTTACTAGCTTGCCGATGTCAGCCGATTCGACTTCTCCCACCGATCCGATTCACATCGATTGCCAGTCCAGCTTGTCGATTCGATTCTTGGCTCTCCTGCCCCGCTCCCGCTTCTGTGGCTCAGCGCTTGCCTTGTTTACCCCGCCCCTGCAGTCAGCTTGGGACACGGGCTGGGTTTTCGGCCGAGTTTCCAGGCCGCGAACTGGGGCTGACATGACCTTGAAGAGCTCCTGCTTCCTCTGCTCCAGCCCCCAACCCTTGACTCCTGTGCACCCCTGTCGGGTGTTGCCAAGGGTGTCCCCCATGGCCCAAGGAGGTGCCCCCAGCTCGCTTCCTGGTTCATCCCCCCAGGCCTGTCTGAGCCTCGTGGGAGGTGCTCTGAGGGCCGTGGGGGCCTCCTTGGACATCCTGGGGGGCACCATGGGCCAGGGACACTTCTTTACAACATCCGACTACCCTCTGCACGGGAGTCAGGGGTCCTGAGAGAACAAAAAGAATTTCGAGCACCAAGGAAGTACCGAAACTGGAGGGTTTTCACGCGTCGGGCCCTGGGAGGCGATACTCGTTCGACACTGTTTCGACACTTTTCTGGGCACTCGAAATTATTTTTGGGATGTGGTCCTCAAGTAAGATGGTAGCAACATCACCCCGGGGCTGTTCCTGGGACAACCTCTTCATCGCGAGTCGTGTTTGACGACTCGTGGGGGCCAGGGGTGGTGCTCTGGGAGTTGGGAAAGAGGCGAACACTCGCATGCGATGTCTCGCCCCCCGGCTTCTGCACGAAAAATCGAACCGCTCAGGAAAGGATAGAAACTCGGGGATACACAGCTATGCGGACGCACCCCTATCGAGGATGGACGCCCCCTGTCGTATATCCCCGAGTTGGGCCCAACTGGACTTGTTCAGTCGACCCCCCCCCCGGAGTCCGGGACAGGGGTCGGCACCTCTGTTCAACACGCATAGGGACATCTTCCCCCGAGCCCTCCTTGCCACGGTGAACGTATATCCTTTGGAGGTGCCTTGCGCGGGCCGGGCGCTCTCTGATCGCTGCAGTTGGGAACGCGCGCCGGGCACGACCTCGAGTCGAGCGAGCAGCAGGCGTCGGCTCTTGCCGTTGTGGCAGGGAGGGGCGGGAACGGACGGGGCCCGATGCCTCGTTCGAGCTGGCCAGCTTGACCCCTGCCCCGGGCTCGGACGACAAGTGGGACGGGGGAGGTCGGCGGCGCGCCTGGGGGGGGGGGGGAGTGAGATAAGGAGCAGGCCTTCTCAGAGCGCGGCGGGGCTTCCCGGAAGCCCTCCGGCATCCTGGCGAGTGGTTTGCGTCCTCGGGGAAGGCTCAGAGCGCTTGTCCGGAGGCCCGCGGCCTCCCGAGCCTTTTGAGAAGGCCCGCCCCCTTTCCCACTTTCCCCCCGGGCTCGCTGCCCAGAAAGGAGGGCAATTTCGAAGTCTGCTGGCTGCGGCCTGCCTCAGCCCCGACGCCGGGGCACCTGCGGCGCGGAGGGGCGCCCGATAAACCAGCTAAGTACCTCCCTCCTCCTCCTCCTCCTCCCTCCTCCTCCCTCCTCCTCCTTCCTCCTCCTCCTCCTCCTCCTCCCCCCTCCTCCTCCTCCTCCTCCTCCTCCTCCTCCTCCTCCTGATTCTCCAGATTCTCCATAGATGACGGGATCCTCGACGCCGAGACGCGAACACCCAGCCAAAACGCGAGGGGCAGGCGGCTGGTCCTGGGCAGTGCAGCTGGCCTCCCAGCAGCACGTTCGGCCAACAATACACTATACCTGCCCTCCCCTCCTCCCTCCTCCCTCCTCCCTCCTCCTCCTCCCTCCTCTCCTCCCTCCTCCCTCCCCCTCCTCCTCCTCCTCCTCCTCCTCCTCCTCCTCCTCCTCCTCCTCCTCCTTCCTCCTCGCCTCACTCCTCCTCTGCCTTTCGTTTTGTCCGGCCCGATGCGGCAGGCATGTAAAAAAAGAGGCCAACCTGCGAGCAAGTGCCCCCCCAGAAGCTTCTTGCCCCTTGCTGGCTTTGAGCCGGGCGGGGCTAGGACAGGGATGAATAGTTCCAGACGGCAGGGGGAAACAATTAGTGAACATCCCCCCGCTCCCCCAAACCCAAAGCTGGCACGCGCGGGGAAGACTGCGGTCGAAGTGCAACCCATTCAACCCACCGCCAACATTGATCATGGGAGGGGGGGGCATTGACAGATATACGTGGCACGAGTGTTCGCTAATTTCTTCCGAGGCCTGGAGGGCTTCGGAACGCTCTCAGAGCTTCCCGGAACGCTCTGGGAAGGCCGTGGGGCCTGGCACATCGTCCAGAACCGCCGGATCTCAGAGATCCCAGGTTCACGGGTGCACGTCCAGAAGCCGAGGCTCGACGACAAGCGTGCCCCGAGATCTCTTCTCAGATGTCTTCGCATATGTGCCTGACGTACTCTTCTCCCTTGCCCTCCTTCTTCTCCTCCTCCTCGTCCTCGTCCTCCTCCTCCTCCTCCTCCTCCTCCTCCTCCTCCTCCCTGTACGTGGCTTGGGGAACGGGCAGAGTGACCGTTGCAACGGACGGGGCAGGCTGGGCCCGACACATCTACCGGGAGTACAACAAGGATTGCGACGCCACCGCAACAGCCGCATTAGAGCGACAGTGCGAGATTGCTGCAATCAACCTCGTGCTGTGGGAGCTCTTGAAAGGGCATGCGGAGGCAAACGTCGTGGCCAGATTCGACGGCGGGCGGCGGGAAGGCAAAGCTGGGACAGCATGGGCTCTATGGGTGAAGATTGGCACGAATATGTACCCTTGGATGGTCTACGGTTTCGGCGTGGGCAGCGCCACGAGCTCTAACGCGGAGCTCGCCGCATGTAGTTCGCTTTGCTCTCACATTGAGCACATGGCGGAAAAGTTTGCCGCCTGTGGGATGCTGCATTTGGGCTTTGATGAAGCCCAGAAGGCTCCGTGCCGAATCAGGCCGCGGCTCGCCTTGGCTGATACGCTCATTGCTCGCGTTCCATGGTATCATGCAGTGTCCGCTTGGGCTGCCGTTTTCCGGCACGCAGCCCAGAAAGAGTCAAAGAGTCCTTCTCCTCATCTTTCTCCTCCTCCTCGCTCCCCCTCCTTTCTCGCACCTCCTCGCTCCTCCTCCCCTCCTCCTCCTCCTCCTCATCCTCATCCTCATCCTCACCCTCATCCTTATCCTCCTTATCCTCCTTCTCCTCCTCGTTCTCCTCCTCCTCCTCCTCGTCCTCCTCCTCCTGGAGCTTCGCAGGCGCAGGCCGCCCACGATAGGGCCATGAACCAGACGAAAGCCGCGAATCCCGCCGAGGAGCCGCTTCTCACCTTCTCTTCCCCGCGGCACTGTCGAAGTGGGCACAGTCGGCACATAAAGTAAGGGATCGGCCTGCGAGCAGATGCCTTCGGTTGCCACTCATGGAAGCAGTGTGTACTCTCGTAGCTCCGTTTTTGGAGTGCGTTAGCGTCGATTGGCATCTGGTAGTCGACGAGGAAGCGCCGACTCAGCTCCGACTAGCGTCGATGTAGCGTCGACTAGGGTCGACCAACGTCGATTCTCAAGAGCCAAAGAGTTGGTATGGGAGGATCCCACGAGCTGCCGCAGAGCACTTTCTCCTCCCATCGGCAGGGTCGAAATCGACACAGTCGGCACATGAAGTAAGACATCGGTTTGAGAGCAGATGCTCCACGGAAATGCCTTGCTCCCCAGTGACCCCAGTGGCCCAGGGATCGAGAGAAGCTCTGAGGCACTTCAGGACTCTCGCAGGCAGACGAAGACTGTGCCCCAAGATTTCCCTTAACAGAATTTATCACCGCGTGGCTGCTGTGCGGACAGAGATGGGGACCAAGACCGACAGCAGTTCCTGCCCCTCTTGCGCCGGGCCCGCTGCCGGCGTCGCCGCGGACGTCAGTCGTCCATCGGAGGCAAAAGACGTTGGCTCGACAGCGGCAGCTGTCGACAAAATTTGCTTGTTGGGCTCGGCCCGGGTTTGGGGCTCGGCTTCACGATCTTTCCTCCCCCTGGCCCGTGGTCGCGAGCGGCTGCGCGCGCGAGCTCAAAGCCCCGGCGGCCTGGCCCGAGGGACACACGAGGCGAAACAGGTGAGCGCTGGCCGACATTCCGATCGAGGGACGTTTTTGAGAACCCAAGGAGGAGGAGGAGGAGGAGGAGGAGGAGGAGGAGGAGGAGGAGGAGGAGGAGGAGGAGGAGGAGGAGGAGGAGGAGAGGAGGAGGAGGAGGAGGAGGAGCGAGGAGCGAGGAGCGAGGAACGAGGAGCGAGGAGCGAGGAGCGAGGAGAGGAGGAGGAGGAGGAGGGAGGAGGAACGAGGAACGAGGAGGAGGAGGAGGAGGAGGAGGAGGAGGAGGAGGAGGAGGGAGGAGGAGAGAAGGAGGAGGAGGAGGAGGAGGAGGAGGGGGAAAAGGAGGAGGAGGAGGAGGAGGAGAGGAGGAGGAGTGCGGTGGAGGAGGAAAGAGGAGGAGGAGGAGGAGGAGGAGGAGGAGGAGGAGGAGGAGACCCCCGACGTTGCGATTTGTTTATCAAAGCGGCGACCCCCAGAGGTCTGGATCCCTTCCCCGGAAGCGGATCTGCATCCCGAGTCGTTGTTGGACGCTCCCGGGGCCCGGCGGGCGGACTTGCATCCCGAGTCGTCGTTTGACCCTCCCGGGGGGGCCCGGTGGGGGCCCCGGGAGGCCAAAAATAGAGACACGGCGTAAATTTTGTCACAAGGCGAGGGAGGAGGAGGAGGAGGAGGAGGAGGAGGAGGAGGAGGAGGACGACGACGACGACGACGAGGAGGAGCCTCTCGTGCTCGTCCTCCCGCTTCTCCCCCTGCCGCTCCAGCCCCCGCTGCCCCTCCCCGCTAAGCTACGAGGCCACATGCGAAGCCTAACCTTCCGTCGGGCCTGTCCCTCTACAGGAGGAGTATTCAAATATAGTAAAGAAATAGTCAGGGGACGATTTTTCGATTATTTCTTGCGCATTTTGGATGTATTTTGGAGGTATTGGAGCGGCCTAGCGGCCGGTGCCGCCGACCGAGAACGACGACGACGACGACGACGACGACGACGACGACGACGACGACGACGACGACGACGACGACGACGACGACGACGACGACGACGACGACGACGACGACGACGACACGGCGGCGGCGGCGGCGAAGACAAGGACGACGACGACGACACCCGATTTTATCCTCGTCCTAGCTTCGTCTCATCAGCGTCAGCACCAGAGAGGCCGCAGCAGCTCCGGCTCCAGTCCGCGCTGCATGCTGACGGGCCGGGGCTGGCGGGCAGCGCTGCGCCCGAGGGAGGGGGCCATGGCCGCTCGGCCCTGACACGGCCGGAGCACCAGGAGTACGTTCCTGGACTGCCCGTCGCCGTGGATCGAGCACGTCACCGTCGAGGAGCGCCCCAAGTCGGACCCCACCTCTGACTGCAGCTCCTCCAGGGCCAGTTCGACCTCGTGCGGCCGCGCCGGGGGAGGAGCGGCGCTGGCGTGCCGCCCGCGCATGTCGGGCCAATCGATGCAGCATCCGGCGCGTGGAGAGCGACATGCGGCGGCCGCCCAGCAGGACAGGGCGCAGCCTCAGCCAAGAAGGCCACGCTCGAGGGCAAGAAGCTCGACGACAACGAGCGCAGGCGCCTCTGCAGGCCCGCAACGACGAGGCAGCGCGATGCCTCGCAGACCTCGGCCCCGGAGGTGGAGGGGGACAACGCCTTGGACAGTTCGGAAGGATTTCGTTCGCGGACGCAGCGGCGCCGAACGCAGCGGCAGTTGGTGAAATCCAGGATGCAGGGGAATGCCCCCCCCGGACACAGCGGCCGGCAGCGCGAACGACACGCAGAGGCTGCCCGCGCAGAGAGACGGAGAGGTTGCCCCCGGGGGCGGCAGCTCGAGCGCAAGCCTGGCGGCGGCCACCGAGACCAAGATCTCCCTTTGATTGTGGGCGCCTGTTTGGTCGCGTGGGCTCTGCGGTGGTGATTTCGACCGGGATCTAGCGACGGTTGGGTAGATTCTAGGGGAACAAGCAATGACGCAAACATAACACATTGCAGGTCCGCGCGGGTTTCTCGGATCGGCGCTGACAAGGCGGGGATTGGCATAATGAGGGGGGGTGCGTCGACCCCCAATCGCCCATTGATCGCCGACAGCGGTCTGATAACCCCACCCCGCCCAGGAAAGTGCTATCGGGAACCTATCACCGATCTATCGGCGATGCACCGCCGATTCTAGGTCGATGCCTCCTCCTGATTTTGCCGTGCGCCCCCTTCGTTGCCCCCCATCGGTGAGCCGCGCGGAACCGAACCCCTTCCAGTCCCATGGCGGGGGGGCGGGGCGCCCGATAGGGGGCCACATGCGAACCGCACTCCTGCCCCCCACGATGTCTGGGGGGGAGGGTGGGGTTCACTTCGTTTGGGGGCCCCCGAGCGAAGTGAACCCCACCCTCCCCCTCAGGAGTTGCGGGGGGTAGGGGTCGGGTTCGCGCGTGGCCCCCTATCCGAGACATCCTCCAGAACCGCCAGATTTCAGAGATTTGTCCGATCTCTCCTCGCCCGAACTTCTCCTCGTCAGTGGCTTCGTCTTGAAGGGTGGGGATGGCGGTTCGGGGGGGGGGGATCTCGCGGCGGGCGCGGCGCCGGGTGCCCCCTGATATCCGACGCTGCCAAAACAAATTACAACGTCGCAAATAATCTTGACCGGATCACTGGACCCCATCTTCGGGCGTTGCCGGAAGTACCCCTGGGCCAAGGTACCCCTAGGATTCTCGGGTGGCCAAGACGGCCTCCAGGGCGCCCCCCCACGAGGCCCAGAGGACCCCGCCGGCTCCAAAGTGGAGCGAAAAGCTGGGGGCACCTTGGGCCAGGGGCGCTTTTAGCAACGCCCGACATCTGTTCGAGCCGGATCGATATGCGCGGGCCCTGGGGCCCGAGCCTGGGCGAAAGCGCCCGTCGAGAGAAGATGGCAGCGCCAGGAGCTCGGGGGGGGGCTCGCGTTTCGAAAAGATGGGGGCTCCGGGTGTCTGGGCAGAGACGGTTGGGCGGGCGGAAACGGGGGGTGACCCAAATGGGGCGCGGAAAAGGGCGCGGATTTAGGACAGAGGGGGTCGATGGTTCGGGGGCAGGACAGGCCGCCGACGATCGTCCCAGCGGCGCCGCTCTTTAAGAGCACTCGGCGCTCAAGAGACGGGGGTCAACGCGAACGGGGGTCAGCCAGAGAGCCGGATCTTGCAGGATCCTGCAGGGCCAGGGGCGCACTAACCCGTGTCTTGGTGCAGCGGCTCGTGGGACTTTGCAGGATCTTGCAGGATTCAGCAACGCTTGACTACGCCGGGTTTGGATTCACCCAGGCCAGCGGATCCCCAAAGCGCGGCGGTGGCACGTCAGCGCCGGAAGCACGTCAGCTCCACAATGCCACCACATGTTCGAGGCATCGTGTGATGAAGGGGTTGAGCGAGCGAGCGCGCGAGAGACAAAGAGAGAGCGAGAAAGAAAGAGGGATATATATATATATATATATAGAGA